CACGAGTTTGATGGAATGACCCATCACATTTATTCTGAATCACATCCTCAATAGGATCCTTCAACGCAAATAGGAGTCTATCTCACCCATACATTTCACTTGCTGAGACTACCTGCGTCCACACTACGAGAAACAAAACAAAAAAAATTGAGTTTCGTTTTGGTAGCAATTGGAGAAATCGAAAGACTGCAACGCGTTCACCAATACCCGCAGGACATCTATCACTAAAATCTGGGCAGCAGGAACCTTTCATCTGACTCAAGGACTGGGCCACCGAAACCCTCTCCTCGACCTTTCTGCTTTATGATCAATCGCTACAACTTCTCCCGCTGCATCCTATCTCTCAATCGCTTTGTCTCTTTCTCCGAAATCGAGCGCTAAAAGCAAAAGTCAGGCTCGTGTTCAGGAAATTATTGCGCCTGAAATTGAGCGTAAAGATGGAGTAGGCAACGACAGTGAGAAAAACAGCCAAGAAACCGTTGACAAGACCGAAATCCGAAACCCCTTCCCTTCTAGCAGTGAAGGGCAACTTGCTCGAGGAGAGCCTCCGTCGAACGAGCTTCCCGGATACATGCAGCCAGGGTTCCATCGGTTGATACGGCAAATCAGCGTGGCTGATTCACACGCTGGGTCCACGCCACGCACCCATCTCGGCGCGGCCCCAGCCGATGAAGACGAGTCATTCGCTGTAAGTAGTAGCCAGAGGCGCTTGCCGCGCGTCAAAATCTCGAATCAGGATGTGGCATCACGCCTCTGAGGCGCATTCCTTGAAATTGTGATGCAGCAAGATGCTTCTATGCGTCACTCTGAGCTGACTTGTGGCTTTTAAAGCGAATCTTTCATTGCTCGTCTGATACTAACCGCCCCAAGGCAAACTTCTTGATGCCGCGCCTTCGACTAATGCGTGATTTACCTTCCTGCTCATAGGGTGAGGTTTCGTGGAGTTGTTCTCTCTGAAACCAATCTCATAATGTGAAATCTTGTGTTTTGTCTCTAGTGACCACAACTGACGACAATATCATGTTGAAAGGGTGAATTAATTTTTTGGGACAGATTCCTACAAGTACTCCAAGTGCGGGTTGAATGTGCTAGAGAAATACGAGCCTGTTTGGGCAATGCTTCCTTCTAAGAGATGTTTTACATAGTTGAACGGGGACGCACCTTGTGTCCGCGGATGCGACGGTGGCCCGCTGGCGCACCGCGCGCCCCGGCCCACTTGCGCTCGGTTCCAACGCGCTCCAGCGCCATTGGCCCGCCTCCCTGCGGTCGAGGCCAGTTAGTCGGCGCTACGCGCTCCGTCCTAGCGGCGGTGCTCGTAGGAGCTGGCCACCGGTGGCAGGTCGGTGTTCACCGGGCAACGCGATGAGGCCAGCTAAGGCGAAGGGGCACGTCGCTCCGTAGTCCATGTTGGCGGAGCGCCTGTCATCCCAAAGCCGGTCGTGCCCTCCCTGCTCCCGTCTGGGAGCAGCCCTTACAACATCCCAGATAGGACACGTCGGCCGCATGGAGCCCCAGAAGAAGCCGAGCCAACGTGGGGGTCTAATACGTCGAGTCAGCTGGTGGGGCTCACCTCTGAGAGAGGTGACTCCCGGGAGTTCGAGAGTATGGTGAGTTATTACGTCATAATAATGTTAGTAAATATAAGTGTTTTCTATGTATTATTGGGTTTACCCTAATTATATCGGTCTGTTGTGTGTCACTCGGGTTTAGTAGGGCTGTTTACCTAGGTTAGCCCGTCGGCCACTAGTGAGTAGGTTGAGCTGCCGACGGGCGCCCCTGTGTCCCGCGGGGGAAGTTGGGTCCGCTCCTCCTGGTGGGCGCTCAGGAGGCAGCGGGGTGGCTGATGGGCAGCTCGGCGGGAGTCGAGTGTCGGGGAGCATACACACCGTTCGCGACATGGTGCATCGGACCGTCGAAACGACCCGCTCGGTTCCAAATTCGAGACCAGGAACGCGGTAGGGGACGGCCAGCTACCACTGTCCGCACCCGACCCATCAGCCATGCGGAGCCGGTGTGTCCCACAGGGGGACTTGGCAGGGCATTCGACTACTGGAGGCGCCTTCCCCATCTTTTGCGTACTTCGGACGGTGGCATCGATCCTAACCCGGGATGCGAACTGGCGGGAAAGGATTGATTTAGTCCGGCAGGACTGTGGCACCTGCCACCTAGAAGCCCATCGGCCGAGACTTCCTCCGGGACCAGGATGCTCGGGAAGCCCGGAGTTAGTCTCCAGGAGGCCTCTAGAGTAGCTCGCCGCGGTCGCACCGGTGCAGCTTCCGTGCGGGAGTAGGTGGACCAGCTCTCGAGATGTCCAGTGGGGATGGAGAGTATGCGGGCGAGGTTCGTCGTCAGCTGCGGTGTTGAAGCCGGGCGCCTTCAAAAAGTCGTAGAGTGGAAGGTTAAGCGGCGCGTGGCGCGAGCAGCGCAGGGTCTACATCATGGCCGCCGTGAGTAAGCTGCCCCAGAAGAGACTCGAAAGACCTCCTGTGGACTAACAAAGGCCTACCTGGATCAGTGCCCTCAGCGCCCTTTAAAAGGTAAACCATCGGCTTGTACTCAGCCCTCGCGCCTTTCCAGGTAACTAGGGTCTCCCCACAATTAGTACGTAGGGTTCAATTCCTTGTAGTTGTAGTTTAGTCCCTTTTTCCCACCCTTAGGTTAGATATCACGTATTATACTCACCACTGCCCACTCCTCCAGTTCCAGCTTGTTCGCTAATTTTCGTTTTTGAAGTTTCTCTACCTTTATTCCGTTCCCCTCGAGAAGACGAGTAAAATCCTCGTCTCTCAAGCTTAATCCGTTCTTATTCGTCGGATCCGATTTTCGATCCCTACTCCGTTGGTTCCGTGTTTTCGGTCCCTATTCCGTCGATCCCTCGTTTCTATTCCATTTCCCAATCGACACGTCATGAAGAGACATCCATCGGACTTTCCCACGACGAGCGAATCGATATTGGAGCAATTAAGCACTTTCCCAGGCTTAACGGCACCGATCGATCCGATTCGGCGTGGGAAAGCATCCTCTCATGCACGCTCATGGGAAAGCAGAGAAATAGTACGAGGCGAGACATTACCGTAATCCTCGCTCCATGGGAACTGACTGATAGGCGAACATCGATTGGCAACTCTCATTCTAATCGACGTTTGTCTACGATTAGCCTTCTGATGGAAGATTTGAGGAATACGAATTACTTCGTGCAATCCAGAATCTCCAACGAGCTGTGGATAACCCCCTCTCCTTCACTTCTGGAGGACGTCCAGCTCGCTGAAGATCCGGACGAGGGGCTGTGCGGCTCAAGGACCGTGATAAGGCCCTTGCAGTTGCGCACCGCATCTTGACTCGTGAATTTAGTTTCGCGAATCAAGTTCGAGACGCAGCATTGCGTCATGCCTTCAACGTGAGACTGAGGAGTCGCGCCGTGAACTCGTCAACGCTTACCTATCCCACTGGGCAACCGGAGGGGAAGCGGCCGAGGGACGCAGCAAGCGATCTTCTCGCTCGCTCTGAGGTAGCGATGCAATCCTTTCAGAAACAAAACCCTACTACATCAGCGAACTTACCTCCTACAGGAGTTAGGTCTTTTTGCGTTGTCCAGAGCTTACGTCGCATCGTCCGAAGAGACTCCTCCAGGAACAACACGATCGACGTCAAGATCGAACGGAGACAGAGGTACTTGTTAACCCAACCTCGAGTCAACCACGACTCGGAGAAGGGATAGCAACCCTCAGTAATACATTTCAAGATCGTGCCTCGCATGATCAAGCAGTTCGTTTGCCAACATTCGATCTCCCCGTCTTCGCCGGAGACATCGCCAAGTTCGCGGAGTTCTGGGATATCTTTGACTCTGCGGTTCACTCGAACCGTACCTTACCACCCACAGTCAAATTCCATTATCTCAGGACCTCGTTGAAGGACGAAGCATTGTCTATGGTAGCCGGGTACGAGATTACGGATGCTAACTACGAACTAGCAATTAATACGTTGCGAGAGACATACTTTCGCCCAGAATTCATTCGTATGCAACTGAGTAACCGACTTGAAAGTCTCAAGCCGGCAACAACTCAGCTATCAATCAACGTATTACGTTAGCGCAAGTTAAGTCGCTATGGCTTCAACTTAAGAAGCTAGGTGACCAGACGAGAACATCTTCGTCATGCGCATAATACGAGAGAAGTTTCCTTCGAAGACGCTAGAGCAAGTAGGCTATTTGCAGGCGAAGGATTCGAGCTCGTGGGTGTACCTCAGCTCTTTAAGCGCTTGACAATGTGGTCAAGACCTTCGAGGTAGTAGAGGACTCAACGCCAGCTAGAAATCAACCATCGCATGCATTGGCTTTAAGATCATTTGCTCGATCTTCTTCAAGGGATTCGTCTCCTTCTAATGCGTACAACGGTAGTCGCACACGACGTCAGAGTCAGTCACCGAGGCGTTCGCGTCGCCAAACACCGTATTCGTCAGCACAATGTGCCTTTCGCGGATCGAGACGCCACTCAGCATCTAATTGTAGTCGTGTGACGTCAATTAGTGCAAAGTGGGGCATCGCCGCAGACAAAATTTGTGCTTCAAGTGTTTTTCGCGACGTCATAGAGTGGAAGATTGTGACCGTCCTGCATGCTCAGCATGTCAGGGAGGTCATCATATCACCCTCTGCAGACAAGCGGCTAGACACTCGTATCGTACAAGACGCAGCAGGTCGTCTAGTTGTGCTTCTAGATCACCTAGTCGAGGAAGAGAACCGTTCCGTCAACCCCGTTCACATCGTGAACGAGCAAGATCACCACGACGCAACGGACAATCTTCACCTGTGCGAAGACGCAACTCACCGTATCCGCGTGCGTCCAATTCCGTGACCGAGACTTCAACCAGAATTCTGTCGAGGCTTATGCTTCAGACGATTTCTACGTTGGAGATCTCACAGAGACCGAAGGGGAAGATTTATCAATCCGACCCAACGGTTCAATGTACGGTTTTGCGACCATTCAAGCAGTCCTTACCACAGGACCCACGTCTTATGTATCAACGCGCGAACACGCAATAATATTACGTCCTCAGAGGAACTGTTAGTGCTGCTGCTAGATAGCGGCGCACAACACAGCTTCATAAAAGAGGCTACTGCGTCGAGACTGGGACTTCCGTTTGAAGATTCTCAGCCACTCACTACGCGAAGCTTCGGAGGTCATCTGACAACTGAAGTTTCATCTCGTGTTTCTCTAGTCTTACGAGACCATGCGGGTATACCTGTTAAACTCGCGGTGAGAACTCGTAAGATTACTACGTCAATTCATGCCGGAACTCATATCTCTCAAGATACGATCCGGTTATTACGTTCCTCGTGCAACCATAGCGATCTCGTCACCGATGGAGATATCGACATAGATGTCCTCATTGGGATGGATCACTATTGGAGAATCGTCGACACGACGAGAGCACGAAGATTACCGTCAGGACTCATGATCGTGTACACACGATTTGGACCAGTAGTATCCGGTTCGAAACATTCCAGTTCTGCACATGTCTCAACAATTTTTCCATATCTTACCACCTCAGAGACAGAAGCAGTCCAGGAACGTTCCGATCCAGATATTACCCAACTCTGGGATCTCGAATTTATCGGGATCACAGACAGCATGAGCCCACGTCAAGACGACCAGGTTAACGCCGAAGTCGTCCAACGCTATTACGATACCGTTCAGGTTATTGACGGCATTATTCACGTCCAGTTTCCATGGAAGAGAAACCATCCGCGGTTACCGGATAATAAAGCTGTCGCACTGAAACGGTTAGAAAATCAATACGTGACGTTCCGCAACCAACCCAAGTTGTGGGAACAATATTGCGTAACATTTCTCAACCAGGAAAGGTCAGGTATCATTGAAGAAGTAGCCGAGTTCGACTTTGACGGACCTCAGGTGTACTATATGCCACACCAAGCGGTTCTAAAAGCCGACAGTCCGACTACTGCAGTGCGCATCGTCTTTGATGCTTCCAGTCATCGTAAAGGCGTTCCAAGCCTGAATGACTGCCTACATCAAGGACCCACACTGCTGCCAGACCTTGCTGGTGCATTACTACGTTCCCGATTGTCACGATACCTCATCACTGGTGATGTGGAAAAAGCATTTCACCAGATCCGTCTCCAAAAAGATCAGCGAGACGCGACGAGGTTTTTGTGGCTAAAGGATACTTCGTGTCCACCTAGCATGGACAACTTACGTATTTTTCGATTCACGCGTGTAGTATTCGGCATTAATGTTTCACCATTTCTGCTGAACATGTCAATTAAATACGCGCTTGAACGAGATCAATCTAATACGTTAAGGGAAGAGGTACTTGCCAACACTTATGTTGACAATGTGCTCATAGGTGCACAGACCACCGAAGAGTGCATTCGGAAGCATAAGCAGTGCAAGGAAACCTTCCACCGTATGGGCATGAACCTGAGGGAATTCATGTCTAATAATACGATTGCTATGGAATACATTCCAGAGCACGACCGTATGAAGCTCACCTCGAACGCGGTCAAGTTACTAGGATTAAGATGGAATCCCATGAGGGATACCGTCCACATCCAGGTACGATTGGCTTCGTTTCGAGCGAACACGAAACGTGCTGCTCTCCGAGCAGTAGCATCGAATTTCGACCCATTAGGGTACATTACTCCGTTATTCGTCAAAGCCAAGATCTTCATTCAAGATCTCTGGAAAGACGATTATCCCTGGGATAAACCCTTCAACAAGGAGTACAGTCTAAGATGGCAAGAGATTGTGGATCAGATTGAAGGTTACACCTGTACCTTACCCCGGTTCATCATTTACACCGATGAACAGGCTGAACACGAACTTTTGCTATTCGCGGACGCATCCCAGCGGATGTATTCCGTCGTAGCATACTTACTGAGCAGAGCTCCTAATGTATATACACAATCTCACCTCCTCATGGCAAAGACGAGGTTGGCACCGGTCAAAGAGACCACCATACCCCGTCTTGAGCTGATGGCCTGCGATACAGCAGTATCGCTAGCTCAGTTCTTGCTTAAGGAGTTAAAGATTGTGATTCGTGCAGTTCGATTCTTCTCGGACTCGCATATTGCGCTCTACTGGATCCATTCGGATCGCCCTACAAAAACGTTTGTTAGCAATCGCGTCAGACGTATCCGTGGGGTACTGGAGAATTTTACCTCCAACCGATTGGAGACCAGATTTTATTACGTTTCGTCAGAATCCAATCCAGCGGATTGTGCTACGAGAGGTCTTTCAGCACGAGAGATTTCTAAGCACATCTGGTGGAATGGACCTGCCTATATTCGTCAGAGTCCAACGACATGGCCACATACGGACATTGACTTCCGACAAATGCCGAGCTCATCTCCAGAGATGGAGCTTGAGTTCCAGGTTTCGACCAGCATTTCAACGGAAACTCATTGTTCAGTGTTACCATTTCGAAGGACAAACGATCATCGTAAATTAATCCGTTATTCAGCATTGGTACTCAAGTTTCTTCGGAAACGAGTATATGATCGCGTTTCAATCCGACATCAAACTCGGCTCCAGCAGACGCTCTCACTCGAGTGCATATCTGCGGAGAACGAGATCGGAGGTGACGACGTCAGAGCAGTTGAACTCATGCTTCTCCGTGAACATCAGCGAGAGAGCACAGTTCAGTTGCGCTTACGTCCAATTAGCAACAAAGTCACCTACAAGGATTCTAACGGGATCATACGAGTAGCCACTAGGATGCAGAATGCTGAAATAGTACGTAAGGCCAAGAATCCCATTCTTCTTGCGCCACGTCATCCACTGACAGCGATGATTATCAATAGATGTCATCGTGCCTTATTCCACATTGGAGTAGGACAATTAGTCAGTGTATTACGTCAGAAATACTTCATACCGAGAATTCGTACCACTGTTCATTCGGTAATCAAGGATTGCATATCGTGTAGGAAGCAACAAGCACACTATCGATATCCCAATCCTCCAGAATTACCGTTTGAAAGAGTGACCCGTAGCCGACCCTTTCAAAGGATCGGGCTAGATTACTTCGGACCTAATTTGGTCACCGTTACTCCGTCAGAAACTCGTAAAGCTTGGGTATGCTTGTTCACATGCATGACCACAAGAGCTTTACATTTGGAGTTGGTGCATAACAACTCCGCTACAGAGTTTCTATTAGCGTTTCGCAGATTCATGGCTAGAAGAGGCACACCTGACTTCATTGTCAGTGACAATGCCCCTACCTTCAAGTTAGGTAAGGAAATTCTGGCCAACGAACTATTGCAGTTCGAACATGATTCTGCAGTTCGTCAATTCACCAACCAAAACGCACTCACATGGAACTTCATCACCCCATTCTCACCTTGGAAAGGGGGGTTCTATGAGCGTTTAGTCGGTTTGGTGAAACGTGCCTTGAAAAAGACCGTTCAACGTAATACGTTAGATATTCGCGCCTTCGAGACTCTACTTTTAGAGATCGAAGCAACGCTGAATACGAGGCCATTGACTACAGTTCATAGGGAAACAACAGGAGAAGTACTTACTTTGAGGCCAATAGACCTCATTAGCCCACATTACCATCTTGGGCATTTCCTGTCCCCGACGAACGAACGTCAATCGGACTTCCAATACTACGTGCCGAGTGATTCAGAGACTAAACAGTCCCTGAAAGCTCAGCACGAAGAATTGCTTACTACGTTAGATTATTTCTGGTCAGTATGGCGAAAAGACTATCTTCAAGCGCTGGCAGAACGCACCCAAAGCGCGCCCAAACGCGCGCGAGGGTCCCGTTCATGGCCCAATCTTGGAGAAGTAGTGCTCATCGCACAGGAGAACATTCCTCGTGTGATGTGGCCTTTAGCCATCATCACCAGATTGAATACGTCAAGGGACGGAGCAATTCGGTCTGTACAAGTCAAGACAGGGAAAAGTTCCTTTACAGATCGGCCCGTCAACCAACTTATTCCGTTAGAACTTCACGCTACTACGTTCGACCAGGAAACAGATGGGATCCCGCCGAAGAAGTCCAGGAGGTCATCAACTCCTGCGACACAACCGACGAGGACCCAACCACCACGTGCTGCGAAGAGGACACAATCACGATGAGTTCAATGCCTTTAGAGTATTCACTCTTCCTTTCTCTCTCTCTCACTTCAGTCAACTCGCTCTCTCTCTCCTTTTCTCTTGCGAGTCAACTTACTCGCGGTAGTCAAAATTTAACGTAATAGTATTTTGAATCTAACATTCTCTATTATAGTCAAAATTTCACTCCTATTTTGCACATAACTCTTTTCGCGCTAAAAAAGTATTTTTTCTACCTTCTCTTTCCTTCCTCCGTTGGCATTGTTTTCGTCGTAAGTGTTCCCTTTTTGTAACATTGTGTGTGTGTTTGCGCGAGTTCACACTGATTCTCAGTGAGAACTCTGACGCACATCTGTTGCTTTGCTTATTACGTGCACGATGTATCAGTAAGCCTTACTGGAACCTAAGCAGGTCACTGCTTAGTGCGACGATCGACAGTGCGCCGATCATCGCCGCAGGACCCATGCCTAAGTGCATGGTTGCCCGCGGTGAGGCAGTCGCCACTATCGATCGATTGCACCAGTCAAGTGCATCTCATACTTGTACATTAGTTGCTTATCGTGTTTTTTTTTCTTAATCCGTTCTCTAATCCTTATCACCACTGTTTACAGTGAACTTATTTCGTCCCTTCCAGGATAGTCTGCTATTCATTCTGATCTATCATGGCGAAGAAGTCGGCGGGTCCACGAAGAAGAAGTCAACGGGAAAGCCTATTGCGTCTACTGTTACGGAGTCCACTTCTACCCAGGACACAGCCGAACAGGTAGATTCGTTGAACGATGTTTTATCATCTGTTTCTTATTTCATCGGTAGATTCTTCGGCTCCCAGCCTGCCGCAAGTGAGCCAGCTGAGGTGGCACGCTGTACCGTTGCTCCATCGGAGCAAGGTGCTGCGGAGACCCAGCAGGAACGCAGCGATGGGCAGGAGAACGAAGGAGCACCAGTCGTTTCTCAGCCGACCGCGAAAGCACCTAAATCGTTCACGTTGAGAATCTCGTGGAAGCGGGCATCGCGGATTCTAATTCGCCGAGGCCCACTTTTGCGCAGATTTTTCATCTGTGAACGACGAAGGGAGCAAGAAGTCGCGTGGTCCCCGTACTTCTGGACGCGCTAGGGATGGTGTATCGGAGCAATCCCATCATCAACCCGCGCCGACAGAAGGGGATCGCCCGCCGAGCAGCGGACGGTTGAGCATCCTCCAATGGAGGTAGATACTACGTCTAATGCTGAGGCTCAGCAGCAAGACGAGCCAGTTTACTCCGTTATTCGTGAGAAAACCAAGCGCACGCCGTTCCGTCAAGCCCAAGACTCCTCAAGGTCAGGGGCAAGCGGACAGCGGCGTGGTAGACTCACGTAATACGTTTGCGTCACAAGCGCAATCTACTCCGTACTCGGTACAGCCATCGTCGGACGCGCCGGTCGAGCTTACTTTCGACCCGCGTACCCACACGATAGCTCAGTACAAAGAGATATTACGTAACGTGGCAGCAGCAATGCGCCACGCCTACGATGAACATTGTAGAGAAGTGGAGCAACTAAGACTACGCGTGCTTGCTACAGTCGTGGACGCGAGGTCAGGGTTGCTTCCGTGCCCTAACCATGCGGCGCAGGACGTATGTCCCCTGCCGCCGGTCGCGCCCAATAGTTCGTTTCTTATTAATTTTAATACGGTTGAAGAACTAACAGCTATACAGTTGCGAGCAGTTCACAACTTTATCACGAGACCTACCACGGGAGGATCGGAGCCAGCGCTCATCCCTAATTATCAGGGAGATCCACCGGGTTGTTCTCGTGCGAGCTTGTTAGTGATTATTAATTCGTACAACTCGTTGAATACTACGATAGATAATGCGATCGAACTTATGGGTCAGCTCGCAGTCGTTTTGCACGACACCGATCCATGGAAGCATTGCTTCGTGGCCCTCATGGCGTGGATCAACGAGCTCACTCACTGTTTGACAGCGATCAACGTACACCGTGATATCATACAGGAGGAGATTCTTCCTTATTTGATAAGCATGGCGTACGAGATCGAACGTTTTCCACGTCTTTTAAGTCGTCATAATATCACGCCGTTGTATTTGCATACTCTATTGACACGCTCGTCTGCCGTTTCGGCACATCTCACTAGATTCATTCGTTCGCTGGAGGCCCTTCAACTAAGCCAATTAGCGACGTTAGGTGAAGGGGATCCTGCGGCAAGGAATCTGCTGAGCGAGTTCCAAGCGGCACCACCGGGAGAATTCGCGGCGCAAAGCGTCACGGAGTATCTCAAGTGGTGGAGAGAACACTTCTCCGAGCAGTTTCGCAGTAGAGCAACGACGGCGTTCATGCAAAACGTCAGTGCGCACGTAGAGCGTAGTCTCGGCGAAGTCCATCCGCAAGAGTCTACAGCTCACGCGGCACTTACTACGTTAGAGGCGGAGTTGCAGAAGCCCAAATTCAAGTCAGGCGGATTTGGGCCTAAGCAACCCAGTCCAGTTGTATTACGTGAGGGTGAACGGCCACAACAGCCTCAACCTCAATCCGTAGCGAGACGCCAATCTCCGACCCCAGCACCTCCCCCGGTCGCAGCTTCTTCTCAAAGTCGGGAGGCTGGACCCCAAGGGTCCAGTATCCAGGCCCGCGGTCGGAGCCAGGACAGGAAGAGGAGCCATGGACAGAGTCGAGATTGGCGAGATGACTCGCGCAGAGCCCGATTTGAAGAGACTCAATCTTCACAATCGTGCTCGAGTACTTCGTATGGAGGTTCCCCCGCTCAGACGCTCAGAAGACGAGGCTTACCACCGGTACCACCACAAAAGGTTCCGCTGCCTGGTCAGCCACCATGCGTTTTCTGTTCGTCGAAGGGTCACTACTCAGCTGAGTGTGACGTTTACAGACATCTCACAGTGAGGGCAAACCTTCTCGTTTCACAACGACACTGCACGATCTGTCTTCGGAATCATTTCGGAGACTGTATTCGAGCAGATGGGTGTGGTATATGCAGGGAGCGAAGTCACCATCAGGCTCTCTGCGTAAACAACCCATTTGTCGTTAACGATATCGCTATGATGGCTCAGCGATTCTATAGAAACATCGCAGATGCCTCATATCAAGATATCCCTCCGAACCAGGAACAACGCCAGCCTCATCAGGAACGGCGGCCAAGAGCCAGAACAGGACGTTCGAGGCATAGGCATCCAGGTTCGGGTAGTACGTATCCCAGCGACCGAGAGTCCTCGGCTTCAAAGGGAAGACGTTGAGATCAGAGATCTCATACTGCGTTGTGGGTAGTAGTCAATTCCCCACTAATCCGTTGTGGGTAGTAGCCATTTCCCCACTATTCCGTACGGGTAGTAGTCATTTCCCCGTTAATTCGTCGTGAGTAGTAACAATTCCTCACTAATACGGCGGGGGGAAATAAAGATAATAAAAGTTAATTCGTTGCCAGAGTGGTCTTATCCCTGGCTAATACGTGCATGGGGTAAACTATCAGGTAAGTTTGTTACAGGCGGAAAAGTAAACAGGTAAGTTTAAAAAAGATGGTAGTTTACATCAATGCTAAGAAATACACAGGTAAGTTGTAGCAGGTAAGTTTAAGTTTCAGGAAGTTTAGGTCGATGCAACTGCGCCTGTGTCTACTACGTGCACAGGCAGGTTATAACAGGTAAGTTTGTTCCCCACTTACTTATGACTGTGTAATTATGTCGTTTACTGCGTTTGCACACCCCCTTTACTCAAAGATTTAGGTAATGTGGTGGTGGCGATCCCTCCAGCAAGCGACGAGTGGCGAGCCGGACGAGATCGAGTGGTTCGATGGTGGTTCGAGAAGTTCGTTGGTAGTCGGTGGTCGAGGATCGAGTTCGGCGTTGGAAGTGTGGTGTGAGCGACGTGGTCACTCGCGACAACAACATCAGTCGCCCTGATCACGTCGGTGGAGTGGATCGTTAGTTGGATGGAAGTTGGCAATGGAAGTAAAGTCAGCGGCGAGTTACAGCGACACTACTACAGTCATGGATTTGAGGTTGCCCTTAAGGCACCTCCTCCGATGTCATGTTTTCTGGAGTGGCCCTTATGGCGCTCTCTATTGTTGTTTTTCGGAGTTGCCCTTAAGGCACTCCTGGTATTGTCGTTTTGGAGTGGCCCTTAAGGCGCTCCCAGTATGATGATTTTTCCGAGCGGCCCTTAAGGCGCTCTAGTGTTGTATGTATCTCGCTGTGGGGTTTTAGTGCGTTTCTTTCATCGTTGTATATTATGGTTGTTTCTTGGACACCCTTAAGGTGTCCCCTTGCCTTTTCGGTGGCCCTTAAGGCACCTTTGTTTTCATGAAGTATGCTTATGACGATGATTCTTTATGGGGAAGCCCTTAAGGCACCCAGCATTGTCTATTACGTTCTCACTTAGTAGGTGTTGTAGTAAGGGGTCACCTGTAGGTAGGCAAGTTGTGAAAGGTGTAGTTTCCGCCAGCTGTCCTAGGGACTATCTATCTAACTGGCCTCAAATCTGGGTGTTCGGTGTTTATCTCCCCTGGTGGGGCACCGTGGTCCCCCGCGCCCCTCCCCCGGGCGGCTTCGCTTGTCTCGGGAGTGTCGCGGATGCGACGGTGGCCCGCTGGGCGCACCGCGCGCCCCGGCCCACTTGCGCTCGGTTGCCAACGCGCTCCAGCGCCATTGGCCCCGCCTCCCTGCGGTCGAGGCCAGTTAGTCGGCGCTACGCGCACCGTCCCAGCGGCGGTGCTCGTAGGAGCTGGCCACCGGTGGCAGGTCGGTGTTCACCGGGCAACGCGATGAGGCCAGCTAAGGCGAAGGGGCACGTCGCTCCGTAGTCCATGTTGGCGGAGCGCCTGTCATCCCAAAGCCGGTCGTGTCCTTCCCCTGCTCCCCGTCTGGGAGCAGCCCTTACAACATCCCTGATAGGACACGTCGGCCGCATGGAGCCCCCAGAAGAAGCCGAGCCAACGTGGGGGTCTACTACGTTGAGTCAGCTGGCGGGGCTCACCTCTGAGAGAGGTGACCTCCGGGAGTTCGATGAGTATGGTG